ATGATGATTATTATACAATAAGAGCTCTCCTTAAAGCTCCGGCTTGATTTGGCTGGCTCACTCCAGCTTCGTTAACTTGATTAGCGCGATCGTAGTTGGCGAGGACGGGCTGGGAACGGATCCCTAGAGCCTAGAGGTAGGAGCACTAAGGGCGGACCTTATGAAGTGCTGTGTGTACACTCTCTATCTATCCTGCTCTGATGCGCGTGTCTAGGTAGGGTAGGATTGCAGTCTTGTTACACCAAACAGTCCTATCAACCCTCCTATAATTATATTATCTTCAATAATATAATGGTCTATACGCTCACGAAGAGTTGCTTCGAGAGCCAAACGACAAATGTTTGGCCTCTTCGCACTCGCATTTATGGCGAAGTACCGACTGATCCACGCCGGGCCTTATCACACCCGGCCCTACCCTGGATGCGTAACGCTCATCCTACTAACGACAGATGAACGACAACCTAACATCCTCAAATCACAACGGAAAGCGCCTTATACGCTACCCAAAGTCTCAAATAAATCAACACGCGGTTCGCCTTACTACCTTCGGTTGGCTTAGCAACCTGCGGATAGCGACTAACTCGGTCATGGCACGTAATTTGTGCGCTCCAGATGTTTTGGCGTGACATGCCCTCTCCTGTCCTCCTCTGCCATCCCTTGCTATCCTCTCCCCTCCTCAGGTCTCCCTCGCCCTCTCCTGCCCTCTCTGTCGCGTCATATGACTGTAGCATCGAACAAAACACGTGTGTACGGCCATACCGTTCCTTGCTCTCCTCTGCCCTCCCTTGCCCTTTCCTGCCCTCCTCTGCCCTTTCTTGCCCTCCCTTGCCCTCTCTGCCGTCCCTTGCTTCCCTTGCCCACTCCTGCCGTCCCTTGCTCTCCTCTGCCCTCCTCTGCCCTTCCTTGCATTCCCTTCCCTCCCTTGCCCTACTCTGCCCACCCTTTCCCTCCCGTGCCCTCTCCTGTACTCCTCTGCCGTCCCTTGCCCTCTCCTGCACTCCTTGCCCTCCTCTGCCCTCCTCTGCCCACTCTTGCTCTCCCCTGTCCTCCTCCGCCCTCCCTTGCCCTTTCCTCCCCTCTTGCTCTCCCCTGTCCTCCTCTGCCCTCCCTTGCCCTCTCCTCCCCTCTCTGCCATGGTTGGTGTAGGTGGCTTGTGATTGTGGAGAAAAGGTGGGATAGCAGTGAAGGAGAGTGGCTTGGAGGTGGACAGCAGGAGATGCTGGTCCCGGACGGTCAGGGTCAGGAGGGGAGGGATCTCAGTGTAGTCAGCGGGAGCAGGCAGTGCCTGTGTGCCATGCCTTTCTCGGGTGTCTTAAGAGGCCCTAAGTGCTGTTGTTCTGTCTTATACTGGGCTGCACCTGGAAGCCCGCAATCCCCAGGAGGACACTGCTGTACAGACTAATTCTTTGGCTGGATGGGTAATTGAGCAGTGAGGTAATGATGGCCATGCTGGGTAGGTGTATGTTGCTAGTGTTTGGTTAACAGCTGGCCTTAAAGGTTGCCTACCCAGGGGCCAGGAGGGTGTTCCCATTACCGGGGTGAGTGCTGCAGCTGCATGCCCACCCCTGCACTGTAATTTTCCTCAGTCCAGGTGCTCATCCTTTCTCACCCTGCAGGGTGAGCATCCCACATACAGTGGTGTAACATCTACCCCGTGAACAGTGGTATGCATACCACATCTAGCATATCACGTTACATGTACGTCTTGCATAGCAGTTCAATAAAGTGCGCCCTATTGGCGTGATGGTAGCTGTGCCACACATCCGCCTGTTTACCGTCGCACCCATTGGGTGCGATGGTAGCCGTACCGCACATCCGCCTGTTTACCGTCGCACTCATTGGGTGCGATGGTAGCCATACCGCACATCCGCCTGTTTACCATCGCACCCATTGGGTGCGATGGTAGCCGTGCCACACATCCGCCTGTTTACCGTCGCACCCATTGGGTGCGATGGTAGCCGTACCGCACATCCGCCTGTTTACCATCGCACCCATTGGGTGCGATGGTAGCCGTGCCACACATCCGCCTGTTTACCGTCGCACCCATTGGGTGCGATAGTAGCCGTACCGCACATCTGCCTGTTTACCGTCGCACCCATTGGGTGCGATGGTAGCCGTACCGCACATCCGCCTGTTTACCATCGCACCCATTGGGTGCGATGGCAGCCGCGCCACACATCCGGCTGTTTACCGTCGCACCCATTGGGTGCGATGGTAGCGGCGCCGCACATCTGGCTGTTTACCGTCGCACCCATTGGGTGCGATGGTAGCGGTACCGCACATCCGCCTGTTTACCGTCGCACCCATTGGGTGCGATGGTAGCGGTACCGCACATCCGCCTGTTTACCGTCGCACCCATTGGGTGCGATAGTAGCGGTGCCACACATCTGCCTGTTTACCATCACACCCATTGGGTGCGATGGTAGCCGTGCCTCACATCCGCCTGTTTACCATCACACCCATTGGGTGCGATGGTAGCCGTGCCTCACATCCGCCTGTTTACCATCGCATCCATTGGGTGCGATGGTAGCCGTACCGCACATCTGCCTGTTTACCGTCGCACCCATTGGGTGCGATGGTAGCCGTACCTCACATCCGCCTGTTTACCGTCGCACCCATTGGGTGCGATGGTAGCCGTACCTCACATCCGCCTATTTACCATCGCACCCATTGGGTGCGATGGTAGCCGTACCTCACATCCGCCTGTTTACCATCGCACCCATTGGGTGCGATAGTAGCCGTGCCACACATCTGCCTGTTTACCATCGCACCCATTGGGTGCGATAGTAGCCGTACCGCACATCTGCCTGTTTACCGTCGCACCCATTGGGTGCGATGGTAGCCGTACCGCACATCTGCCTGTTTACCATCGCACCCATTGGGTGCGATGGTAGCCGCGCCGCACATCTGCCTGTTTACCGTCGCACCCATTGGGTGCGATGGTAGCGGTACCGCACATCTGCCTGTTTACCGTCACACCCATTGGGTGCGATGGTAGCCGTACCGCACATCCGCCTGTTTACCGTCACACCCATTGGGTGCGATGGTAGCCGTACCTCACATCCGCCTGTTTACCATCGCACCCATTGGGTGCGATGGTAGCGGTACCTCACATCCGCCTGTTTACCATCGCACCCATTGGGTGCGATGGTAGCGGTACCGCACATCCGCCTGTTTACCGTCGCACCCATTGGGTGCGATGGAAGCCGCGCCGCACATCCGCCTGTTTACCATCGCACCCATTGGGTGCGATGGTAGCGGTACCGCACATCTGCCTGTTTACCGTCGCACCCATTGGGTGCGATGGTAGCCGTACCGCACATCTGCCTGTTTACCGTCACACCCATTGGGTGCGATGGTAGCCGTACCTCACATCCGCCTGTTTACCATCGCACCCATTGGGTGCGATGGTAGCGGTACCACACATCCGCCTGTTTACCATCGCACCCATTGGGTGCGATGGTAGCGGTACCGCACATCCGCCTGTTTACCATCGCACCCATTGGGTGCGATGGTAGCCGTACCGCACATCCGCCTGTTTACCGTCGCACCCATTGGGTGCGATGGAAGCCGCACCTCACATCCGCCTGTTTACCATCGCACCCATTGGGTGCGATGGTAGCCGTACCTCACATCCGCCTGTTTACCATCGCACCCATTGGGTGCGATGGTAGCGGTACAATGGTAGCCGTACCTCACATCCGCCTGTTTACCATCGCACCCATTGGGTGCGATGGTAGCCGTACCTCACATCCGCCTGTTTACCATCGCACCCATTGGGTGCGATGGTAGGCGTACCTCACATCCGCCTGTTTACCATCGCACCCATTGGGTGCGATGGTAGCCGCGCCTCACATCCGCCTGTTTACCGTCGCACCCATTGGGTGTGATGGTAGCCGTACCTCACATCCGCCTGTTTACCATCGCACCCATTGGGTGCGATGGTAGCCGTGCCACACATCCGCCTGTTTACCATCGCACCCATTGGGTGCGATGGTAGCCGTACCGCACATCCGCCTGTTTACCGTCGCACCCATTGGGTGCGATGGTAGCCGTACCGCACATCCGCCTGTTTACCGTCGCACCCATTGGGTGCGATGGTAGCCGTACCGCACATCCGCCTGTTTACCGTCGCACCCATTGGGTGCGATGGTAGCCGTACCGCACATCCGCCTGTTTACCGTCGCACCCATTGGGTGCGATGGTAGCCGTACCGCACATCCGCCTGTTTACCGTCGCACCCATTGGGTGCGATGGTAGCCGTACCGCACATCCGCCTGTTTACCATCGCAACCATTGGGTGCGATGGTAGCCGTACCGCACATCCGCCTGTTTACCATCGCACCCATTGGGTGCGATGGTAGCCGTACCTCACATCCGCCTGTTTACCGTCGCACCCATTGGGTGCGATGGTAGCCGCGCCACACATCCGCCTGTTTACCGTCGCACCCATTGGGTGCGATGGTAGCCGCGCCACACATCCGCCTGTTTACCGTCGCACCCATTGGGTGCGATGGTAGCCGTGCCACACATCCGCCTGTTTACCGTCGCACCCATTGGGTGCGATGGTAGCCGTACCGCACATCCGCCTGTTTACCGTCGCACCCATTGGGTGCGATGGTAGCCGGACCGCACATCCGCCTGTTTACCGTTGCACCCATTGGGTGCGATGGTAGCCGGACCGCACATCCGCCTGTTTACCGTCGCACCCATTGGGTGCGATGGTAGCCGCGCCGCACATCCGCCTGTTTACCGTCGCACCCATTGGGCGCAATGGTAGCCGCGCCGCACATCCGCCTGTTTACCGTCGCACCCAATGGGTGCGATGGTAGCCGCGCCACAATCTGCCTGTTTACCGTCGCACCCAATGGTAGCCGCGCCACAATCCGCCTGTTTACCGTCGCACCCATTGGGTGCGATGGTAGCCGCGCCACACATCCGCCTGTTTACCGTCGCACCCATTGGGTGCGATGGTAGCCGTACCTCACATCCGCCTGTTTACCATCGCACCCATTGGGTGCGATGGTAGCCGTACCTCACATCCGCCTGTTTACCATCGCACCCATTGGGTGCGATGGTAGCCGTACCTCACATCCGCCTGTTTACCATCGCACCCATTGGGTGCGATGGTAGCCGTACCTCACATCCGCCTGTTTACCGTCGCACCCATTGGGTGCGATGGTAGCCGTACCTCACATCCGCCTGTTTACCATCGCACCCATTGGGTGCGATGGTAGCCGTACCTCACATCCGCCTGTTTACCATCGCACCCATTGGGTGCGATGGTAGCCGTACCTCACATCCGCCTGTTTACCATCGCACCCATTGGGTGCGATGGTAGCCGTGCCTCACATCCGCCTGTTTACCATCGCACCCATTGGGTGCGATGGTAGCCGTACCTCACATCCGCCTGTTTACCATCGCACCCATTGGGTGCGATGGTAGCCGTACCTCACATCCGCCTGTTTACCATCGCACCCATTGGGTGCGATGGTAGCCGTACCTCACATCCGCCTGTTTACCATCGCACCCATTGGGTGCGATGGTAGCCGTACCTCACATCCGCCTGTTTACCATCGCACCCATTGGGTGCGATGGTAGCCGTACCGCACATCCGCCTGTTTACCATCGCACCCATTGGGTGCGATGGTAGCCGTACCGCACATCCGCCTGTTTACCATCGCACCCATTGGGTGCGATGGTAGCCGTACCTCACATCCGCCTGTTTACCATCGCACCCATTGGGCGCGATGGTAGCCGTACCTCACATCCGCCTGTTTACCATCGCACCCATTGGGTGCGATGGTAGCCGTGCCACACATCCGCCTGTTTACCATCGCACCCATTGGGTGCGATGGTAGCCGTACCTCACATCCGCCTGTTTACCATCGCACCCATTGGGTGCGATGGTAGCCGTACCTCACATCCGCCTGTTTACCATCGCACCCATTGGGTGCGATGGTAGCCGTACCTCACATCCGCCTGTTTACCATCGCACCCATTGGGTGCGATGGTAGCCGTGCCACACATCCGCCTGTTTACCGTCGCACCCATTGGGTGCGATGGTAGCCGTACCGCACATCCGCCTGTTTACCATCGCACCCATTGGGTGCGATGGTAGCCGTACCGCACATCCGCCTGTTTACCATCGCACCCATTGGGTGCGATGGTAGCCGTACCTCACATCCGCCTGTTTACCATCGCACCCATTGGGTGCGATGGTAGCCGTACCTCACATCCGCCTGTTTACCGTCGCACCCATTGGGTGCGATGGTAGCCGTACCTCACATCCGCCTGTTTACCATCGCACCCATTGGGTGCGATGGTAGCCGTGCCTCACATCCGCCTGTTTACCATCGCACCCATTGGGTGCGATGGTAGCCGTACCTCACATCCGCCTGTTTACCATCGCACCCATTGGGTGCGATGGTAGCCGTACCTCACATCCGCCTGTTTACCATCGCACCCATTGGGTGCGATGGTAGCCGTACCTCACATCCGCCTGTTTACCGTCGCACCCATTGGGTGCGATGGTAGCCGTACCACACATCCGCCTGTTTACCATCGCACCCATTGGGTGCGATGGTAGCCGTGCCGCACATCCGCCTGTTTACCGTCGCACCCATTGGGTGCGATGGTAGCCGTACCGCACATCCGCCTGTTTACCGTCGCACCCATTGGGTGCGATGGTAGCCGTACCGCACATCCGCCTGTTTACCGTCGCACCCATTGGGTGCGATGGTAGCCGTGCCGCACATCCGCCTGTTTACCGTCGCACCCATTGGGTGCGATGGTAGCCGTACCGCACATCCGCCTGTTTACCGTCGCACCCATTGGGTGCGATGGTAGCCGTACCGCACATCCGCCTGTTTACCGTCGCACCCATTGGGTGCGATGGTAGCCGTACCTCACATCCGCCTGTTTACCGTCGCACCCATTGGGTGCGATGGTAGCCGTCACCTCACATCCGCCTGTTGACCGCAGGCAGATGTGCGGTGGAGTCTGTTTGTTTTCATGCAGTTCAGTCAAGCCTAAGATAGTCGTCGGAGCATGCCAAACTATGATTACAAATGGTAAGACTTAGCCCCCCCCCTCCCGGAGTGTCTATTCCCCGGGGTGGAAGTTGTCTAATGAACTACGGTGAGGCCAGGAACACCAATTGTTCAGCCAACAGTGCTCGTCATGCCTCTGCTTCAATTGGCTTGTTCATCACCCTCCCCCCGGATCCAACTACGATTTTAGTAAAGCCCGCCTGTCCAAAACACTGTGGATGTGTGAGATATGCCCACGTCTGTGCCTGCACCCCCAATCGGAGACACTGGCAACAATGCTGATCACGTCACCAATACACCCCGATCCTGAGATCCACTGCCGTGACCCGGGACCAGCTGTGCGTGGTGCACCCCTTCCAGGGTTTCGCCCACCAAACAAGAGTGTCCATGTCATCACCCCAGCATGTAGCTGGTAGTCCATGCCTCCACCAGTCATGAAAGGGTCACATGCATATTGGCCTATGCCGTACACACCAGCGGCCGTGAATACGCTGCTGGCCCAAGCATCCGCCTTGTAATCATTTCCGTATTCCACTGCCTGATGATGACATAGCTGTCCCAGGCCATGCATGTCACTGCTCGTGAAACCCCCATGGCCCCCTTAGTAGCTACCCGACTGGTCCCCACCGTATACCCTCCCGTACAAGCCCGCGACGCATGCGTCCGAATGTCACCATGGCTGCAGTCGGGGGATGGCAAAACGAGGGGGGAAAGGGGGAAAACGCAGCGGGGCAGAATGGTTAGGAGGGCGTGTTTCAGGGCATGACGGGGGCCCCCTCAACCTAGGCGATGCATTCCTTCTAACATCATCATGGCTGCAGTCGGGGGATGGCAAAACAAAAGGGGGAAGGGGGAAAACATTGCGTGGCGGGCCGGGAATTGGAACAGTACAGAGGTGCCACCCACGTTAGGGTGGGTCTGGTGTCAATTCCCAGGTGTCCCGTACTGACCCATGATACATACACACATTTGTACGTGGGCACATGAGCACACGGATGGTGGGGCACACACATTCACTCCAAAAAAAGAACGGAGGGAGGGAAGGCCAAGGGAGTGAAGGGGACAGCAGAGGGGAAGGCACAGGATGGAAGAAGGGAGGGCACATGGTAGGGGAAGGGAGGATGTTGGGAGGGAGCGTTGAGGGAAGTGGGGGGGATGATGGAGGAAGGGTGGAGGAAGAGTGGGAAATGGTATTGTGGAGGGATTATTGAGGGAGGGTGAAATGAAGGAAGGATGGAGACGGAGCGCCATGTCTCCCTTACTTCACCCCCCGAAGGAAAAAACAGCCACACAGATCTATGGGGCCGGAGGCCTCAGTGATATTAGCATATGCATCATTCACACCCACACGAATCCCCCAGGGTCCCTGTCGTATTGAAGTCATTTAGCCAGTGGCTCCCCCGTTCGTTTGACTGGACATTTATAGGAGAGTCATCACACACAACCAGAAGAGGCGCACAAACATGTGGCATGCCAAAACAGCCATCAAACCCTAAGTAATTCAACTTAGGGAGAGGCACCCCCAGAATCCCGGATGGGCAGTGGCAGGTGTTGTGTCGTATGCGGTTTTTATAATTGTTTGGATGTTGTGCACAACACATGGGTGAGGTGGGGTGGCCCATCCATCTCCGCCGGCCGGCGGTCACCCGACAGCCCCTGGTTTGCCCTGCACCAACAGCACGCCTCCCGGGTTCCCATGACCGGCAGTCTGAAAGCCATCCAGCTGCTGTGCACCTATGACCGACAGCCCAGCACCTATGATCTATCTGCAATGTATCTACCCTACACAAACCGTTTTGGGGCTCCTGGAGGCCCATAAAGCGCAGCCGGGGCAACATGCGCTCCCTTTAAGTCGACCATGCAATGCCTTGCCTACCCTATATTACAGAACAATCCTATGCTTTTCGGTGCTTTTGGATGGGTACAAAGCGAGAAGTCCTGTCATCATCATGTGCCATGTCGACGTCAGAGTGCCCGCGCGTGAAGCTGTTTGCTATACTAGTTAAAGCAATAACTTTGATTTAGCTATGAAGTCTCTGTTGCCCGTTCGTTTGGCTTTATGAAATTGCGTAACCTCTGTCCGGCCGTCGCAGTTACCATCTACCAAAGTATGTGCGCTTTGCGCAGAATTTAAGCTATAAAGACATGCAATAATTAACTCAATTGGTGTTCCTGGCCTCGCAGTAATTCGTTAGCCAACTTCCACTCCGGGGCATAGGCACTCCGGGTCTTGGCCTGCAGAACCCGTCCACATTCACACAATGCCTAAGTCTTGCAAATGCAGCAACCTTTTCTGTAATAAATTACACCTCGAAATCCATGAACGGTTTGCCTCATTGGTACAGGTCGCTTGCAATCACGCCGTACACATCTTCATACATCTGTCCAGAATGACTACATCCTGCTTACATTCGTCAGTCATATAGGCAATATTGCGATATCATTACGATCATCGATGGACCTTGAGGAAGAGCGTGCTACATGCATAGCCAGAAACGAAGCTAAGTTAGCAGAGCTTGGTCTTTTGCATTCACCTCCCCAGTCCAACAAAATTACAAGCACTGGATTGAAATCCCGCCGACTTCGTAGAAGGATCGACCAAGCAGTGCAGCCGGCGGTCGACCTTGTCCGCCCTTCATCACGGCACAGTAGGAGAGAGGTCACAGCCATTACAGGATCTGATACCACTGAAGAGTCCGAGGAATACTGTGAATTGGAATCAGCACATGAGCGCATGGTAAAGCTGTGACCTTTTGCGCCGCCGAATATCCTGTTGAACTTGCTTGCTTTACTTGTCAAGCATGAATCCCTCTTTCTTTGCTACCCATTCCTTTCGCATTATCGAAGGAGGCTATTCAGAACGTTCCTGAACCTAGTCCAGGTGACCTTCCTGGCCTTCAAGGCATTCCAGTGGAGGTTCGGGATATGGCTGCAAAAATAGGCTTCGAAATCGGCTGTAGGCCGTTCCAGCTGTTCTATACAGCATATGATAAATGGAAGTCGGATTTCAAGCCGGCTTTTAACAGTCCAGGATCAGCCAAGGCTACCATTGACATGTTCAGCACCTCTACGAAATGGGCTTCAGGCAGAGAGACCTTCTTGACCAGCAGCAGGTCAACAGGGTGAGCCTCGAAACGGTAAGCATAGAAACCTGTTGCTTTACTGTGAAATTACAGACTAAACGTGATGTTGTTACAAACCCTAAACACAACCATTCCAGTCACTTGTTGAGGAGGTTTTGTGTATCTGCTGCGTTTTATATGTGAAATTCTCCTTACTGAGAGGTACAACACTGCACTGCTTAATGAATGTACAGTTCAAGGAGAGTGTCAAGCCCAAGATGGTACAAGTGGTGCCACCAAACTTCATCAATAGGCTTGAGGCAGCCTTTGAGGCGGTTGCCAACCCAAACCCCCGGAAGAGGAAGAACAGCTGGGATAGCCACGAAGGAGATGGGGACGATGGTGAATGTGATGGCACCAAGGATGCATCAGGAAGTAGGCTTCACAGGGTGTGCAGCATGCCAAGAGGTACATCCTGGAGAAGTTGTACAAGTTCTTCGATCCAGTCCTGAAGGATTTCAATTCAGCATCCAAGATCTACTTGGAAGTGGTAAGTTAGGGGCAGGGTTGAATTATTCATCTTTGAAAGACTATCACTCAATACTCATGGGTGCTGATGCTTGACTACAGACCGAAAAGGAGATTGAGGACTTTATGGTTACACTGGGTGGGCGAGACAGAACCGTGGCTGGCTTCCACTTGGACTCAGAAGCAACCGACCATGACATACACGCACATGTCCGGAAGTCCCTGGTTGAGAGATGGAACAACCGCAAGAAGTGGATTGGAAATCTACAGCAGCAGGCCAATGTGGAGGGTGAGTACTAAGAGTACTTTGGAAACAGTATTAAAATTGTTTTTGGTACTGTGTATGCTGCAAATTCATTCTAGCCCTTATTTGTAAATGCAGAGATAAGAGAAGAGACTTAGTTATAGTTTGGGGTCATTGAGTTTTCAACTTGCTTGTATTGAAACCTCAAATATGCATACTATTAAACATACCTGCCTGCATACATCATACATGCAGCTGAAGACCTTACTAACCATGACATATGTGCATGTCTTGCCAGCAGATGCTTTGAGATTCAACTCCTTTGGAGCTGACAAAGAGGAGTTTGAGAAGTACCAGTCTTCACAGTCGCACCTGCAATACTTGCAGAAGAGCTTAGGGCCTCTAAACAATGAAGATGACAAGTTCGTCTTCATTGTTGAGGGCAAGGACAGTCCTGTGCTCTTAGCTGGCGGTGTGGTCTTTGGCAGTCTTGTAAGTTAATTAGGCTTCATGTTTCTTCGCAAGAATGACCATGTTGTCATCTGCAGCCGCCTCACAACATACAATTAATGTAAGCATGTGTGGCATACATTGCAGCTGCAATGCAGTGCAACCATGAACTGCTTGAAATTAATGTCTTTGCCTGCTGGATTATAGATTTTATGCTACTGCTAATAATATAATAATTATGTTTCTTTTCATACATGTCGACAATGTTGAATAAGCACTGGTCGGTCCCTCCATATTCACCATGCAGGAAAACAAAGGTGTCCGTTTTCATTCTGCACAGGGTGAACAACAGCAAGAAGACCTCCATGGTATTGCCCAGTGGTACCATTAAGGTTGGCAAGGAGCTAAAGAAGCACATGGTTGTAGAGCTTCCAGTGCAGAGCCTACTTAGCGCTTGGCAGATTCAACAAGCAGCAGGTCAAGGAGTGGGCTTTCTCCCATGGCTGCACAAATGTTCTATGGAATGACTCCATGGTCCAGTACAAGGGCAAGCTGGCGTTGGTTGCTTAGAGAGGTTCCTTGATGAGCAGGGATACAGAGCAAGTGGGCAGCTGCAGTCTACGGCTATGTGGTTCAGTGGTGTGTAGTAGGTGTTCACTAGAAAAAAAGGAAGCAGTGCAGTAGTAGTGCGGAACAGGTCACAGGTGAAGGTTGATGAAGAACATGTGTGTATAATTGCAGGCCAAGACAAGGTACTGCTGTTGCTGTTATGATTTTGGTAGCAGCCTCCAGACTTGTAAAGAATAGAGACAATAGATGCCTGTACAGGCCAGCTGGCTGTGCACTATACTGCACAACTCCACATGATGAGCAAGTGAGGTGACCAGGGCGACCCAGACTGTTGTGTGTAATACATACATATGTATATAATTCCTGACGAATGTGGTTTTGTGCCTACCCATGCAGTACAAGCTTCTATCCCCAATGATGGCAAATAGATGCTGATGGCATGAATATTGAAGTCAGACAGCTTTCCAAAAAAAAGAGAATGTGTGATTTAACAGTGGACAGGGATCATGTAAAAGCTCATAACATTCATAACAGCTGCAGCGTCTGAACCTCAAAACAGCAATTAAAATCCTTAAACAGCAGTTCAGCAAATTATCTAATGGCAACAGCCAGTAACATGATGGAACTTCCTTTTAGCACGTCCCTGCTCGTAACAGCTTTCAAGGCCTGTCAGCAACTACAGCCCTTGGCAACGCTTAACAACTTAAGTGAATTGAACAATTGCTAACAATTAGCTTCCCAAAACCCTAACAGCCGTCAAAAATTCTTTCTCAGCATCTGGGTGACCCAACCAGAATGTAACATCCTGTCAACAATATCCTGTTGTGGCAGAAAGCGCTCTGTTACAGGTCCTTACAGCTGCTAACAGTCCCTAGAATCAGACAACTGTTAACAGTGTGGGCTCCAGGTATATGTCAGTCACAGGGCCAAACAGGACAAGACAACCTCTAACCCAGTGTCTAACTGGCTGTTATGCCACGTTGACAACTATCATCAGCAGCTGATAATGAGCCCGGCTGACAGCCCCGCCTAAGAAGTTAGACGCTGTTAGACCCCCTATGAGTTGACATATATATGTGTCACTCGTGAAGGCTACTACAGATATGAACATGTGTTCATAATACTGCTGTGTTTGCTTGCAGACTGCAGACAGATATGGTACGGCTGTTTGGCCGATACAAGAACTGGGGAAGCATCCCCAAGTTCTTTAACATGCGAAAATACACGTGGTGCATCCGGCAATGGGGCATGACTGACTTGACAACGACGGGCCCCAAGGAGAGCTTTGTGAAGACTGTGCGTAAAGCATGGGAATTTACAAACAAGCATCCTGACACCATAGATAAGCAGGCAAGTGTGAACTAATCAATATCAGGGGTGTATTTGCCATCCATATGCAACACCTAAGATGACTTGTGAGTGACATGCATTCTGTGTGCCACCGCCTTCATCATACAAATCTGGCAGGTTGTGAATAAGCTGGGTGCCATCACTGCTGGGGGGATGGCTGCTGAACACGAGGGTGCAGCAGCAGAGGCAACTGATAAGCACCTGGTATGTGTGCTTGAAGCTATGTATGTGCTGCAGATGTTGCTGTAACCATCTACGATTTTATATGCCGCTACACGCCTAACCCACGTTGCACGTATCAACGTACCTGTGTACCAGAAAGCACAGGTACTCAGGGACAAGAAACATGCCAGCGGCCGGTCAGGTCTCAGCCTT